GGGTGGGGGAGTTGAGGGAGGAGATGAAAAGAGGCCTGGGGGAGGGGCGGGAACGAGGTGGGAGGGGGCGGGGCGGAAAGTGGGAGGGGGTCGTGGGTCCCCGCGGGAGAGAACGCGGGAGGCAGAGGCGGGGACGGGCCCCCGGGCGGGAGGGGTGTGGGGGCCCCCGGTGGGAAGCGGGACCCCACAAAGGAGCGGGCGCGGGCGGACGTCGGGGTGCGGGGCGCGCAGGTGCTTCCCGAGCGGGGGCGGGGCCCGCTCGCCGCCCCTCCCGGTACACCCGCACGGCCGTGTCGTTGCGGATGGAGGAGCCGTGCGCGTGTCCTCGTCCCGGCGAGGGCCCCCGGGGCGAAGCGATGAGGGGCGGGGACCCCCGCCTGGGCGCGGGGCGCTGGCCCGGCGCGGGCAGGGAGGCGGAGCTGCGGTTGACCCTTGCCCAGGGGCAGGTGGCTGTGGGTGCAGAGCGGGAGCCGGAGCCCTGTGCCCCGCGTCGATCTGTCCGGTGGGCTGGTGGCCGTCTGCCGGGGGCGGTTCTGAACCCCCTACCCTCCCGGGGTGGGGGGGACAGGGAGCCATGGCCGGAGGGCGGCGGGGGGCCGGGGGCCGCCCCCGGCCTACATTGCACCGGCCGCCCCCAGCCCCCGCACACAGTGGTACAGTCCCCATGCCGGAGTGGGAGCCTCTGGAGCGGACAAACAGGTTTTCCCGTAGTCTGCGGCAGGCGGCTTCTAACCCGTGCCCCCAGCAGCCACCTTCAGCTTAGCCGCCTCTCACCTGTCCAAGGTCGCGCAGCTCCTGCTGGCGGGGCAGGGAAGCCAGACCCTCAGCCATCAGTACTCTAGCACAGGCCGGGGCTGGCGCCGGCTCTGGAGTCAGTTGTGGGTTCGAGTCCTGGCTGGCTCCCTGCCGAGGGCCCCAGGGCTGCTGGGAGGACCAGATGGGACAGTGTAAGACCCTTGTCACTCATGGCCATCTCGGGCTCCTGACTCTGGGCTGTCCTGCAGGTTGCACAGGACACTTGCGGGTTGGCAAGCTTGGTTTACTCCTCAGTCACCGTGTGCTGCCTTGGGTGCGGGCTGGGGACCCAGAACACCCTGCCTGGCCCGTCCTGACCAGTGCATTCTCAGGGCGGGAGTGGGGTCACCCGCGGCCACCCCCGGGGTTCAAGTCTGCCCACTGGCCGGCTCTTCTGGGCTCCAGTTCCTGTCCAGCGCCTGAGGACCCCTTCTCACGGCTCAGCAGGCTGCTGTGGCCTCTTGAGAGACCCTCCCCGCCAGCCCCCTGGTTAATCAGTCCTTAAATCCAAGCATGTGTGAGAGGTGGTGGAGCCTGGCAGATGGTGTGAACTCAGGCTCTGCCACTTAGCTGGGGATTTGGGGCGAGACCCCGCCGCTTTCTCCACCTACAGAATGGGGGTGATCACGCAGCTCTATAAAACGGATGCCATAAGATGTCTTGAGTGCCAGCCATAATACTGGGTCTGGAACGCGTGGACTTCCTCCACAGAGCTTATTTCTAGTGAGTGGCACAAGAATATATTTTTTCTAAGATTTATTTATTTGAAAGAGTTTCACAGAGGAGAGGCAGAGAGAAAGAGAGAGGTCTTCCATCTGCTGGTTCACTTCCCAGATGGTCACAACGGCCAGAGCTGCACCAATCCGAAGCCAGGAGCCAGGAGCTTCTTCTAGGTCTCCCACGCAGGTGCAGGGGCCCAAGGACTTGGGCCATCTTCTACTGCTTTCCCAGGCCATAGCAGAGAGCTGGATGGGAAGTGGAGCAGCCGGGACTTGAACTGGGGCCCATATGGGATGCCGGTGCTATCAGGCCAGGGCGTTAACCTGCTGCACCACAAAGCCGGCCCCAAGAGTATGTTAAACACCGAAACAAATCAATGTGGGTAACATGGTGGGAACTGGGCGGGGAGACATGGGGGTGCCACGTTAGGCTGGATGACTGGGAGAGGTGGGGAGGGGCTTTCCAGGAAGGGGTGATCACATCAAGGCCTCTCGTGAGGGAAGCCGCTGAGCAGGTGAGGGAGCAGCAGGTGCAGAGGCTGAGGGAGGGGCCCGCCTCAGCTGAGGGGGCTGGGAGATGAGGTGGACAGCCGTCAGACTGCAGGGTCCTGTGGCCGCAGGAGCAGTGTGGGCCTCACTGGCTGTCACAGGAGGCAGGTGCACAGGCTGAGTGGGGGCTGGGAGATGAGGTGGACAGCCGTCAGACTGCAGGGTCCTGTGGCCGCAGGAGCAGTGTGGGCCTCACTGGCTGTCACAGGAGGCAGGTGCACAGGCTGAGGGGGGGCTGGGAGATGAGGTGGACAGCCGTCAGACTGCAGGGTCCTGTGGCCACAGGAGCAGTGTGGGCTCCACTGGCTGTCACAGGAGGCAGGTGCACAGGCTGAGAGGGGCTGGGAGATGAGGTGGACAGCCGTCAGACTGCAGGGTCCTGTGGCCGCAGGAGCAGTGTGGGCTCCACTGGCTGTCACAGGAGGCAGGTGCACAGGCTGAGGGGGGGCTGGGAGATGAGGTGGACAGCCGTCAGACTGCAGGGTCCTGTGGCCACAGGAACAGTGTGGGCTCCACAGGCTGTCACAGGAGGCAGGTGCACAGGCTGAGCGGGGGCTGGGAGATGAGGTGGACAGCCGTCAGACTGCAGGGTCCTGTGGCCGCAGGAGCAGTGTGGGCTCCACTGGCTGTCACAGGAGGCAGGTTTTGAGCAGGGAAGGGACCCATGTGGTTTACACTGAGACAGAAATTGTTTACGCTTGCTGTGGGATGATTGGACGGCAGGGCAGTGGGGGTGGGGAGACGCCGAGGGGACTGCTGGGGCCATGTGGGCGGTGGGGTGACGTCAGTGATTGACAGCCGTGGTCAAGGGTCCTGACTTGGGAATCACAGTATCCAAAGGTCTGCCACTCAGCTGTGTGTGTGTGAGTGGTGAGTGTGTGAGAGGACCGGCCTGTGTGTATGTTTGAGGACCGCCCTCTGTGTGTTTGGTGTGTGTGTGTGTGTGAGGACCCGGCGTTGGGTGGCTGATGGAAGCAGAGATTGTCCCCTCTGCCCTCTGGCGGCTGCAGGAGGGAGGCCGGGGCGCGGCGGGGCAGGTGGCAGGCGCGGCTCACGCGCTCGCTCATCCCTCCCCCGGGAAGGCTGCAGCCCCTCATGCCTGTCACCCCGGGGCCGGGAGTTCTCGGCCTGTGCCCGGAGCTCAGGGTTTTCTCTGTAGACCTCTGCTGTGAAATGGGGCTGGCAGCAGAACCAGTCTGGGAAGGAGCCACCGTGAAGATCCCAGATGTTCGCAAAGCATTTAGCTCGGTGCCTGGCACAGCCGCAGCACGCGGGGCCGCAGTGCCCCCGCACGTGGTCCCCACCACCCTGCCGTCAGGCCCGCGCCACGCTGCCCAGTAACATTGGGCCCGGCCTGGGGGCCTGTCGGAGCTGTAAGGTGACAAAGAGATTGGCCTGGGCTCATGCTGGTAGGAGCCTGGTGGGACATTGCATTTTCCTGGCTTTGCCCTAACGGTCAGGTCGTGTGACGCTCCATGCAGTCGGCTCCACCCCTTGGGAGAGTCCCGAGGGAGCCCTGGTCAGCCTCAGCCCCCATGGGCAGGACCCACGTCACACACTCAGCCTGTGTGCTCGGAGACCCCCAAGTAGGACAGACACCGGCTTTTCCCACCCAACCGCCCAGGGGGTTCTCAGTCAGGTGGTCAGGGTCCCCTGTGTCTTGGTCTCCACCAGCTCACTGCTGACCTCGCAGAACCCAGGACTGCTTGTGGGGCTCCCCAGGGGTCCCTGCACCACCCAGGGAGCACCGTTGATGTGTAGGCTGTCGGGCCCGTATGGAGCAGAGATGCTAACAGCCCTGCACCCTGCCTTCACCCAGCCCCACAACCACAGGTGTCTGCAGGGGGTGTTGCCCGGTGGGGACTGTGCCAGGCTCACCACTTCCCCCTTGGCAGGAGCCGAGCCACATGTGCGCTCGCCTTTGGGAGGGGGAGAAGGAAGCAGTGGAGTGGGGAGACAGCTCCCTTAGGGGCTGGGGATGCTACAAAGAGGGGTGAGTGGGTATTGGGGAGCTCCACCTGCCAGCACCCAGACACGGCCAGGGGTCCGTCAGTCCATCATTCTGCTTGGTTCTTCCCCCCTGACCCCGTCCCCAGTTCAAATGCTGGGAGCCAGCCCCAGAGATGGTGACGTCTGTGGGTGGGGCCCTTGGGCGCCCTGGTGAGTGGGATCAATGGGAGGAAGGAGAGACGAGAGCGAGCGTCCTCTGGGTGCGCCACGTGAGGACGTGGAACAGTGGCCCTCAGCTGGGCCTGGCCACGCTCCCGACTTTCAGAACCGGGGCCCCGAAGCGTCTTGCACGTGTGCCTTGTTAGAGCAGCCTCTGTTCTCAGAGCGCCGGCCCCTCAGTTCCCGCTGAGGACTGCTGGGTGGGGATGGCTGCCTTCTGGGTCCTCTTTCTTTCGTTCTTTCTTTCGTTCTTTCTTTCGTTCTTTCTTCCTTCCTTCCTTTCTCTCTCTCTCTCTCTCTCTCTCTCTCACTCTCTCTCTCTCTCTTTCTTTCTTTTATTTATTTAAAAGGCAGAGTGATAGATCTTCAGCCCACTGGTTCACTCCCCAAATTGCTGCAACAGCCAGTTCTAGGCCAGGCTGAAAGCGGGAGCCAGCAACTCCATCCGGGTCTCCCACGTTTGTGGCAGGGACCTGAGTACCTGGCCATCACCTGCTGCACTCCGGGGCACGACAGCAGGCAGCTGGCTTGGAAGTGGAGCAGCTGGGACTCAAGCCAGCCCTGTGATACGGGGTGCGGTTGTTGCGATGGTGGCTGACGCCACCGTGCCAGTCCCCACCTCGCACTTCCTGTGAGCCCACAGTCCTGACACGAGGTGCCTTCATCACCTCAGAGCCCCATCTACAAGTGGGGTCCCCTTGGGGGTTCGAGCTTCACCACGGGAGTTCTGGGGGACGCAGCTCAGCCCACGGCGGCAGGGATGCTGACGCTCTCGGCTGCCCGTGCGCTCTGGGCTTTGCTGCTCACCAGGCCGCCCTGTGATTCCACGTTTAACCCCCACAGTGGAGCAGGGAGACCGGGGAGAGACAGGCAGAGGTGCCCGAGGCCAGGCGCAGGGAGAGGCTGAGGGCTGCACAGTGCTGCAGGAAGCAGAGGGGAGGAGCCGTGTAGTCACCCGGGATCCAGCGCAACCCTCACGGGCCCCTCAGGTGCCCACCCCCTACAGCTCAGTGGGCAGCAGCCCTCGCCCTAGGTTGGGCGGTAATGGGCCAGGAGCAGGGGGGTGGACCCATCCCGGGATCCAGCTCAGCCCTCACGGGCCCCTCTCAGGTGCCCACCCTCCTACAGCTCAGCGGGCAGCAGCCCTCTCCCCAGGTCGGGTAATGGGCCGGGAGCAGGGGGGTGGACACATCCCGGGATCCAGCACAGCCCTCACGGGCCCCTCAGGTGCCCACCCTCCTACAGCTCAGCGGGCAGCAGCCCTTGCCCCAAGTCGGGTAATGGGCCGGGAGCAGGGGGGTGGACACATCCCGGGATCCAGCGCAGCCCTCACGGGCCCCTCAGGTGCCCACCCTCTTATAGCTCAGCGGGCAGCAGCCCTCTCCCCAGGTCGGGTAATGGGGCGGGCGCAGGGGGATGGGCCCATCCCGGGGTCCAGTGCAGCCCTCACGAGCCCCTCAGGTGCCCACCCTCCTACAGCTCAGTGGGCAGCAGCCGTCACCCTAGGTTGGGCAGTAACGGGCCGGGAGCGGGGGTGTGGATGGATCCCGGGGTCCAGCACAGCCCTCACGGGCCCCTCAGGTGCCCACCCTCCTACACCTCAGCGGGCAGCAGCCCTCTCCCCAGGTCGGGTAATGGGGTGGGCGCAGGGGGGTGGGCCCATCCTGGGGTCCAGCGCAGCCCTCACGGGCCCCTCAGGTGCCCACCCTCCTACAGCTCAGCGGGCAGCAGCCCTCGCCCCAAGTCGGGTAATGGGGCGGGCGCAGGGGGGTGGGCCCATCCCGGGGTCCAGCACAGCCCTCACGGGCCCCTCAGGTGCCCACCCTCCTACAGCTCAGCGGGCAGCAGCCCTCGCCCCAAGTCGGGTAATGGGGTGGGCGCAGGGGGGTGGGCCCATCCCGGGGTCCAGCTCAGCCCTCACGGGCCCCTCAGGTGCCCACCCTCCTACAGCTCAGCGGGCAGCAGCCCTCTCCCCAGGTCAGGTAATGGGGTGGATGCAGGGGGTGGGCCCATCCCGGGGTCCAGCGCAGCCCTCACGGGCCTCTCAGGTGCCCACCCTCTGACAGCTCAGCAGGCAGCAGCCGTCACCCTAGGTTGGGCAGTAACGGGCCAGGAGCAGGGGTGTGGACGGATCCCAGGATCCAGCGCAGCCCTCACGGGCCCCTCAGGTGCCCACCCTCTTACAGCTCAGCGGGCAGCAGCCCTCTCCCCAGGTCGGGTAATGGGCCGGGAGCAGGGGGGTGGACACATCCTGGGATCCAGCACAGCCCTCACGGGCCCCTCTCAGGTGCCCACCCTCCTACAGCTCAGCGGGCAGCAGCCCTCTCCCCAGGTCGGGTAATGGGCCGGGAGCAGGGGGGTGGACGGATCCCGGGGTCCAGCTCAGCCCTCACGGGCCCCTCAGGTGCCCACCCTCCTACAGCTCAGCGGGCAGCAGCCCTCTCCCCAGGTCGGGTAATGGGGTGGATGCAGGGGGTGGGCCCATCCTGGGGTCCAGCCCTTCCCTGCACCCCTGCCTCACAGCACCAGCGGCGCAGAGATGGAGGCCAGCTTCTCACCTCGCCCTGCTTCCCTCCTGCAGGCTCTGCTGGCCCTGCCCTGGAAGGCGCCATGGAGGTCCCTGCCCCTCAGCCCGTGAAGCAGGAGGGCCCGGCCCCCGAGGGCCTGACCCTGGACTCGCCCTGGCACCGCTTCCGCCACTTCCACTTGGGCGACGCGCCGGGCCCCCGCGAGGCACTGGGGCTGCTCCGCGCCCTGTGCCGGGACTGGCTGCGGCCCGAGGTGCACACCAAGGAGCAGATGCTGGAGCTGCTGGTGCTGGAGCAGTTCCTGAGCGCCCTGCCCGCCGACACCCAGGCCTGGGTGTGCAGCCGGCGGCCCCGGAGCGGGGAGGAGGCCGTGGCCCTGCTGGAGGAGCTCTGGGTGAGGCTGCCGGCGGTGGGCTTCCTTCCCCTGACCTGGCCTCGCCGCGGCGGCGCCTGGGGGCAGCGGCGAGGCGACGGAGCACACACAGAGAGGACCACGCAACCCAGGATCCGGGCAGGCTGTGCGGTGGGGGGCCAGCAGCCCCGTGCAGAGTGCAGGCACGCCTGGTCTTACGGCCAGTGGCGAGGCAGGAGTCTCGGGGCCGCCCATGGTTGGTTATCGCTGAGGAGGGGCGTGAGTAAGACACGGGGCACGCAGCGTAGGGTCCAGGAAGGTTCCGGGCGCTGGGCTTGCAGCCGTCTCCTGCCCATCAAGTCGTGGCAGCGACAACTTCCCAGCACCGATGTGACCACCGGCCAGGCGCGCTCGACCACGCTGTCCAGGATTTTCCCGGGGGACTCCCCCCGGGGGGCGTGGCCGACCTTCACCGCCAGCTCACGTCACGTGGCCCGAGGACCCCGCTGTGAGTCCCGCTGTTGGGAGGGCAGGCAGCTTGTCCTGGAGCAGAGGGAGAGGCTCGACGCCTCTCGGCCCAGCTGGTCCTGTGCGGGGCAGCAGTGTCTCAGCCATCGCACCATCCAAGGGGCCGGGCGGCCGCTCTCTCACAGGGGAGGAAGCGGACCTGCCTGAGGCCACGCAGCAGTCGGGCAGCGGGCGAGAGCCCTGTGTCGTGTGACTGCTGTCCTGCCTCCTGCCCCAGCTGTAGCAGCCAGCACCCCACGGCCACTCTGCCCAGGTACTGCCTGTGGACGTCTGCACCGTCCAGCAGCCCAGGTCTCAGGACCCCAGACCCGCAAGGTCCCAGCATGTTCATACCCTTCGGGGAACGAGTGGTGCCGGGAGAGCCCTTGCTGGCGCGGCTCGCTGGGTCCCACTCCCAGGTGTGCCGGCTCTGCTGCGTCTGAGCTGGGGCCGGGGAGGCAGCACCTCCGCCCTGGCCAGGCCTGTGGCAGGCGGCTCTGGCTGCCCGCTGCTCAGAGCGGGCCCCATCCACTTGCTCGGTGTCTAGCTGGAGGCGACCACAGACCTTGTCCTGCTCTCCCCTGCCTCTGACCGCCTTTCGGAGATGTTCCCTGGTTGCCGTGAGCCGGGACAGGCAGGTCAGCCCCTTCCAGTCCAGCCATCTACTCGTTTGCCCCATGTCTGTTGAGGACAGGCCTCAGGGAGGCCCCGTGGGACTGCAGCCCCAGTCCCTGCACAGCTGGTGGTGTGAAGGCCAGCTGCCGCGAGGACACCTGGGGTGTCCTCCCAGGGCTCAACCTGGAGCTGCCGTGTGACCTGGCAGTGGAGTCTCAGGTGTGAACCCGGGAGAAGCACAGACACACACAGAGAAGTGTGTGTGTGGACCTCAGCTACACGTGTGCGCAAAGCCAGAGGTGCCAGCCACCATGCAGAGCCACGTGTGGTTCCACTTCATGTGACAGGTTGCAGCAAAGCTGTAGACAGTGGCTTAGTGGTTGCCAGGGTCTGGGGGGAGATGGGGAGTGACCGCTGACGGGTCAGGCATTTTGGGGCGAGAGGAAGCTGTTCTGAAGTGGGGTGAGTATCCGGGAAGCAGCGCGTGGTGCTCAGTGAAGCTGCTAAAGGCACAGTGCGGTGGACAGCAGGACGTGGGCGTTCCTGACGCCGGAGGGCCACGCGCCTGCGTGCTGGCCGGTGGGGCTCGGGTCGGCCTCAGGATGCCGGGTGGTAGCCACAGCGAAGAGCTGGGGTAGAAGGACGTATGCAAAGGACCGGGGTTCGGGAGAGCCTGGTAAGCCGCTTACCGAGTGTGGCCTGAGCTCAGAGGTCAAGGCAGTGGCTGGCGTGGGGCCGGGACAACGGGGGCCATCGCAGGCCAGCGAACGGTACTCAGAGCCCTTGCCTACGTGGCCAGCAATCTGGTCGCAGTTTGCCAAAGCAAGGCAGGGCCACACGATCACCCTGCCGCCTCCCAGCCAGGCGGGCACTTCCAGGCCCCAGACCCGGGGAGTGCATCCCGCTGCGGCTCTCAGGAGGCGTGGGGGTGAGGGAATGGCAGTTCTCACCCCTGCGTTTGCTTTGCCGCTGCTGACCCTTGGCCGTGGCACGAAGGCACTTGAGACAAGTGAAACGCGACCGTGGGGCTAACATCCTTCCGCACCAGTGGAATTCAGACCCTCTCCTTGTGGGGACAGTTGGGCAGTGAGGACAGCAGTGTAACGACACCAGGAACGGGGTCCGTGCGGATGTTTTCCCCTAATCCTTGACCCCGGCCCCGGCCCCCGGCCAGGGCTGACCTGGCCAGCTGCTGTCTGCTGTGTGTCCCAGGAAAAGTTCCCTTTCTGAACTTGCTCTATTTTTTCTGCATTAAAAGTAGCATGGATGTGCCTCTGCAGTTGCGGTAGGCTGTGAGGCAGGTGTGTGACCTCTTTGTAACAAAATCAGCCCACACCTAGGCTCTCAGAGCAAGCCCTGGCTCCGCCAGGTGTCTGTGGGTCAGGGGCCGGGTGGGTGGGCCTTGCCCAGGGTCTCCTGAGGCCGCGGTTACTGTGCGTGTTGGCTGGGGGCCCACCTCCAGCACACACTGGGCTAGGGCGGGGTGGCTGGTGGAAGGGGGCGGGGGGAGTGGGCTAGGGCAGGATGGCTGGTGGAAGGGGGCGGGGGGAGTGGGCTAGGGCGGGGTGGCTGGTGGAAGGGGGCGGGGGGAGTGGGCTAGGGCGGGGTGGCTGGTGGAAGGGGGCGGGGGGAGTGGGCTAGGGCAGGATGGCTGGTGGAAGGGGGCGGGGGGAGTGGGCTAGGGCGGGGTGGCTGGTGGAAGGGGGCGGGGGGAGTGGGCTAGGGCGGGGTGGCTGGTGGAAGGGGGGCGGGGGGAGTGAGAGGCGCAGGCCCTCTCGCGTTTCCCAGCTTGGAATGTGGCATCTCGTTGCAGGGGCCGGCGACCTCCCCAGACCGGTCGTCAGCGATGAGGGCACCTCGGGAGATGACCGAAGGCTCCGGGGTCAGTGTTGGAAAGGAAGACAGTGGGATGATCCCCTTGGGTGAGCAGCTGCCCTCCCCCCTCAGCCCCAGGGGCCCCGTGTTCCCCTGGCACCGGGACTAGAGGTGAATCAGGGAGCTCCAGGAGCAGGGCCCGGCGCAGGACTCGGTGTCCGCAATGAACGGGCGCTGGTGTGTGCATCGCCTGCCAGCTCCGAATCCCTCAGCAAGCGGCCGAGAGCTGGGCGTGACCTCCGTCTCTTGTACGGCAGAGCAGGTGGTGGCAGAGCCAGGATGCCGCCCAGGCAGGCCGAGCCTGAGCCCAGCGTGCCGGCCCCGCGCAGGGCTGGCCTCCCTGACCCCGTGCTTTTTCCAGCAGGAAACACGGACCCCAGCGTGGAGGCGCCCGCAACCGGCGGGGACGCCCAAGCCGCGCGGCCCTACAAGCAGGAACCCAGCAGCCCCCCGCTGGCCCCTGGCCTGCCGGTCTTCCTGGCGGCCCCAGGCACCACCGCCTGCCCCGAGTGCGGCAAGACGTCCCTGAAGCCGGCGCACCTGCTGCGCCACCGGCAGAGCCACTCGGGTGAGAAGCCGCACGCCTGCCCCGAGTGTGGCAAGGCCTTTCGGCGCAAGGAGCACCTGCGGCGCCACCGCGGCACGCACCCCGGCGCCCCGGGGCCAGCCCTGCGCCCGCTGCCGGCCCGCGAGAAGCCGCACGCGTGCTGCGAGTGCGGCAAGACCTTCTACTGGCGCGAGCACCTGGTGCGCCACCGCAAGACGCACTCGGGCGCGCGGCCCTTCGCCTGCTGGGAGTGCGGCAAGGGCTTCGGGCGCCGGGAGCACGTGCTCCGCCACCAGCGCATCCACGGGCGGGCGGCGGCCAGCGCGCAGGGGGTGGCCGCGCCGGGCCCCGAGGGCGGGGGCCCGTTCCCACCGTGGCCCCTGGGCTAGCCTCCGCTGCCGCCGACCCGCGTCCCTCCCTGTCCCAGCCTTTCTCCTCCCCCGTCGGAACTTCCAGTGCCCCTTGTCCGCCCCTTCCCAGGGCTCCCCGTCCGGTTGTGCGGCCACCTCCGCCCTCCCCGCCTCTCCTCCCCGATTCCCCAGCTTCTGTCCTGCCTCGTGGCCCCGGGCCAGCTCATCTGTCCCTGCCTCGGGAGCCCAGGCTGAGCCTGGAAGCCCAGCCGCCAGCCCAGGGGCGCCGGGAAGGAGAAGCTCAGGGAAGGAGGGGAGGGGGAGGGGTGGGGGAGGGTGGGGCGCAGGTTCTGAGGAGCCCCGGCGGGGCTGGCTCTGCGGGCAGGAGGGCATGAGATGGACAGAGATGCCTGCCCCTGGGGCGTTTGGAGAGCACAATTCACCAGCATCGAGAGTAATAAAGTTGCTGGCCCAGTGTGTACCCGCGTGCTGGGCTCTCCTGGGGGGCGCTGGCCTCTGCTCTGGGAAGCAGGCGGGGGCCGGCTGGGATCCCGACCCTGTGTCCCCTGGGGTGTGACCAGGTCAGCCTGCCGCAGGGACTGCTCGGAGAAGCTCCCGCTGGCTGTGACGAGTGCCGTCGGAGAAGGAGGGGCCCTCCTGCCTGTTGCTGGGGAGTTGCAGCTGTCTTTCCTACGGTCCCGCTGAGGGCAGTGTCCTGGCACGTCGTCTGCCTGCCAGCGCCCCTTTCTCCGTAATTCCCACACTCCTGGTTACGCAACCCCCCC